TGTTTTTTGAAATATTGATAATATATTAATATACTTTTTATTTTTATTTTCATTCAATTACTTTGATTATATATATTTGGAATGATTTTATGTTACAATGTGATTAATGTTAATATTTTGGACATTTATGTGTGGTGATTAGTTACTTTGTCGACAAATGTCAATTGGTAGTATAAGGTTTATCATTAAGCACAATATAGGAAGTATACTAGTACTGTATTTCAGCAATTGGTATCGATGAACTTATTTTTATTGACTGAATAAGTGATAAAAATATTTATTTACACCTCTTAAAGAATAACTTACATAAAAGTGCAATAAATATAGGAATTGAGAATATATTATATTATCTGGATAATAAATCTGTTACTTATTTGAAATAAGTACAAATACTATAATATCATTAATTTAGTATGTTAAATATATTGGCAGGATACATGTAGATTGGTGCTATGATAATGAAAAGATGAACGAACTATATGAATTACGTAGGAATATATATATGTATATATATATCCTTTATATCAGTGAAGAAAATAATTGAGTGATTTGTGGAAAAGACAATTTCTAAATTGGGAAAATTATGAACAGTGTGAAAAGCATATACGCCTTTGTGAAATAAGTTTCAAACTGATTCTGCGAGACACGTCTTGCTTCTTTCTGGAGGTTCTTCTAAAAGGTTGAGAAAGTGTCACAAAACAGAGGTCAAAAACATTTTCCAACTTCCATGGTCTTTTGATACTATAATCTTCTGCACCATAACTTCTTCAACCTTGTTCCTGGACAAGATACAGTCTTGTTGAACACAAACACATATTTTTGGAATAGAATCCGTAATTGATATTTGCAATGTTGCGAATTGTTTAAATATTGATTTTATATGGTATTTTATTGATCACTTCATTGCTACTTGTAGTATTTTATTATTGTATATATAGATTGATTTCATGGTTGCATTCATGATTTGAGAAATAAATACTATTTAGCATTGGTAACTTCATTACCTGTCTTACATTTATAAAGAATACAATGTTTCAAATAGATTTTGTCACAATATGTTCAAGTTTTGTATATTATATATGTAGTATGAAACAGAAAAATGATTTAAACTGAGAAATTTGTTTGTTTGCATTGCACAAATAGTATTAATGTAAAAATATATAAGATAAAGTATTATATATTGAGTAAATGAAGATCTTTGCATTTAAAAGTTGAACTCGATTAATAACCTGAATTTTATATTCTTTGAAATACTGAGAATTATACATATATGTTCATTAAGATGAAACACAAATGATTTTGCTTTTGCGATTTCAGTTCAGGCCCAGATTGTATTCAATATGTATTAAAAAGATTGTTTATTTGAATAATAATCATTTTTCAGTTATATACAGAAACAAAAATTTTATTTTGGACATCTTTATTGAAACAATACTTGCCACAAATTGAAATTGGTCTTAAAGCTCAAAAAATTTAAAAATAAAATAGCTCGGTTTAGTTTTTAATTTAAAAGGTGTAAATTTATGTGGTTATCAGAATAATGCATAAATAAAATTTTACAACAAAATTTCTTGGGATTCGTCCATTATAAATAAGTGAGAAAATGTAATATTTTACAAACAAATATTAGTTATATTCTATATTTGCAGTTACTTTATTATTGTTTTTTTGTTATAAATAATGCATTCAAGTATTAATGTAAATATTAACCAGAAGGTAATATGCAGGAATAATACGTGCATGCACAAACGTATTGGCAAACACCGGTGAACTTGTCACAGTGAAGGGCAGACGTGCGCCCGAGAGAATAGCACGCACTTGTACACGCACAGATATTAGTGCACTCTATAGATAAGAATCGTATACATACATTTACATAGGTAGTACCACCTTTAACGGATCGATAATTTCCAAATCGTAACAGCAGGAAATTTATATTTTTGTATTGTTGATCATTATTACAATTCGATTTATATTATTTAAACAAAATCTAGTAACACAAATTCGAATTCTGGATCACCCTATCGACAGCATACTCCCTTTTGTAGAGAGTATATACTCTGTTTTTAACGAATAATCAGTTTGAATTTTCCTACGCAATTAAATGAATAATTACACATAATTGCGTAATCACAATATGGATGAAAACAAAAAAAACGCGTGTGAAATACGTACAATTATTGAATTTCATATCTCGTCAATTCTGAAATATCTTACCATCTCGTGTTTTTATACGATAATTTGTAGTAGTTTATTATCTATTATTTTATTTATCAGCCGCGATATGATATTAACTTATCCGTACTCGATAATCCCTGCGTGAATCATAAAAGTGTACAGTGTTTATTTCTTTTTTGAATCGATATTTTTTATAATTCAAAATTTATTAATCGAATTTGTTAGTGTTCCCTATCTTATGTTTTTCCATCCATTCTATATAAATGAACAAAAATTACATTAAGAAGAAGAAACCTACGTGAAACTAATGAAAATGCCTACATACCAACTAAATGAAAATAATATAACGAAGAAGTATTTTAAAAAAGAAAGAGCAAAGACAATATTTATTATTTATTTTCTGATAAAAAGTAGAATTTTAATAGAATAAAATAATATTGAAGATATAATATTTGATTGAATGCTCACAACTAAATAAATTTGATTATATAAAGGGAAAACCTTAGCAAATACAATGACAATATACATTATATTGCATGCTGTGTAAAGTTTTCTTTTCTACTTATGTTAAATATTGTGTAGTGATTACCTCACAAATAAAATCTATCGTATTGTATAAATAAACTATGGATCTTAGTTGAAGTATGTAACAAGTATATAGCTTGTTTAAATGCTGAAAAACCAAAAGTTAACAAGATGATAGAATTTTCTAGTTTTGTCTTTGCCTATCAAGTAATAATACAAGAATTTTCTTTTATTCAATTGTTTCTTATTACTCATGACATAGGCTGGTACAAATATTATTCCCAATGCTAAATTATTAAACACATCAGTTTTTGTTAAGTTTGTTCAGATCAATATCATATTCTATGTATTTATCTTTGTTCAAACATGTTATACAATTACAGTCTTATTATACATTTACGATAAACCTAAAGTTAAAAGCGTGAAATGGGGTTTCTTAATAAGAGTATTTGTATTTAAAAAAAAATGTATACATGTCAAATTGAGTAATCTCCTCCTTTTCAAAGTCGGTTAAATTGAAGCACATTCATTGCATTCCTATAATTCATTAACTTTGTTTGTATTCATAAATATTAAAAGTGAAATCTTTAATCCTATTTGTATCAGATCCACTACTTTACTTAATTCACAGTTTTTATTGCATTGTAATGACAACATACCCTGTAAGTAAATATTAGAGAGAATATATGAAGCTGACACAAAGTAAAATAAACATTGCTTTATGTAGAAAGATGTCTGTAGACTACAAGAAATATTTACTATTATAAGAAGAAATTATACCTTCTCAATGAACACAATTCTATGACAAGTAGGAACCAAATTATTAACAATTTTTAAAATGATAATTTTGTATTATTGAGATTTAAGGAAATAAATAAATTTTGGAAGCCTGTTTCATTATTTTCATACATACACTATGATTATTCAAACTTAGGAATAAAATCTCTTGTGTGCAACCTTTATTATACACTTTCGACTTCTTTTTTCCACAGAGAAACTATATAAAATGCTCATGCAAGACTCAGTCTGGTAAAAATGAAGTAAATTTGTCAGACATCTGCTGGGTAATATGCATTAGGTGTAGAAATTAATTCCTTGCCTTTACATTCAATAATTTCAAAAGTTCCTATGTATGGACTGCAGTGACCATCAGGTTGAGACTTAGGTTATGTATATAGATACATTATAATAAAAATCAATTTGAAGATTTAGAATGTTGGTACCTTAATATACCGAAATGCCAAGTAAATATATCTGTTTAAACCAGAGTTATAAATAATATAATACAGTCACAGAATTAATTTCTACACCTAATATTTACATAACGCGTTATACAAGGGTCGCCGCAATATTTTCACCGCGTAATACGAGGTTTATTGCCTACTCTTTATACCTATGCCTCGAGTAACGACCATTTAAAGGAACATGTACATAAGTACATTTGTTTATTTATTATGTAAACTACACCGTTATTATACGGTATGCATATAGTAACAAGAAATATTTGCATACATTAGACGCATAAGTACTGAAGTAATTGGTCCATTAAGCAAGTGTTTTTCGAGACACTTGATTGTTAAGTTCCCAAATATAAATTATACTGGAACAATTCGGTTTTCTAATCATCCCAGATTACGAACAATTACGATTATCATTCGCCCATAAGAATAGTAGCGGCAATGATAATTTAGCATCGCAACTCATTATCCTGTATTACTTACTATTCGTTTCTAAAATGTGAAAGGGTCTTTTCGTAAGTACAACTGTGAATTGGAACTCGATGAGCGCATCAGCAGCACCGTACTCTCCAAATCCGGGGGAGTAGCGCCGCTCGCCGGAATAGCCCACCAGCAGAGCGGTACTCGCTCTGCCCGTTCTGTGCGCCAACGAAATATCTTCGTCTAGACTGAAATATTCTTCGGGCACCGAACCTAAAAAGTAAGTATCCGACTCTCTCATCACCTCCAACAGGATACATTTCATATTCCAGCCGTCTATTCGTTCTAACGTCCGAAAAAAATATTGGTTTGTATTCGATTTTCTCGGTCCTTTGCATTTTACGTTTTACGATCTTTTGTATCTATCTCTCTATCGTTAAATTACATTATATATACATGCGTATTCGTATGTATATATGTATATACACGACATTAACGATACATGTACGCAAATATATACGCGTTATATGCACTTGTATATATGTATTTCCATGTACATACGTATGTATATATACATGTATACATACGCGTATATATATACATTTGCGTACATGTGCATATCATATTACAGTATATACCATCTATCCGTACATTCCTGTAGACAATACGTAGGCACGTAAATCTCCCATGTATATGTATACGTGCATTAATTTTTTACGTATGTATGCGTATACGAATTTCGCACAACACATCGGAGAAATTCTGTTCGACGTGTGCTTGTACAATATTTTTAGTTTGGACATTAATACACGTGTAACGTGGTAGCATATGCATGCTCGTGCATGTGTATAAAATTATCTGTGGAAAACAAAATTCCGTTTTATTGTAACCATTTACTCTATTCTCGTTCACTAGCCTGGTTGTCGTTGAAACGTTCTCGCGAAAGATTTTTTGGCGAGTAGTAGAATTTTTCTGTCACTGGGGGGATTCTCTTATTTTGTGTGTTATTTCTCTTTGTGGAGGAACTGCGATGGTAATTGTGTATTTGTAATAGAACGCGCGACATCGATCGGACCGATTTCCGTTTCGGAGTTCCGCGTATATTTACGATATTTGATTAGAACGAATTGTTTCATGGTGTTTGTTAGTGCGCGTGTCAACCATTCATAATGCATTCGAGTATCGAATATTATTTTGCGACAAGTTGTAGTGTTGGGTAAGCAGATTTTAGATTTTGACATTTTTTTCCTGATGTGTTCAGAGTGAAAATAAGTTCTAGACACATCTCTGCATTTATGACAATGCATATTATTTGTCTAGACATATAAAATTAAAGAGCAGTGCACAATCTAAATACCACTTTGTTAACAATTATTGCTAGTTTGCTAAGCTTTATATTTCATTAGTAGCAAACGAATCATTTTCTAAATGTATTTTAAAGTGCAGTACAAAACACAGGATAATAAAGCGATAGTTTAAGTTGTTAAAAATAGTTTTGTGACAATTGTGTATCCATTTTCTTTCTTTGCTGCGACAATGATACAACCTCAAATTTTTGTATGTTGTTGATATAGAAAGGATGATAAATGAGAATTCGTAGCATCGATTAATGATATTGTGATGCTTCTGTCTGGCTCAAATTTGGTATTTTACTATAATATTCCTACAAAATTATGACGACTCAAAATATTTCAGTTCATTTTTTAGAATCTCATCATTTTGGAGTCATTGTTGCAGGAAATGAACAATATGCTGTTACTAGGAAGTAGCTTTGTAGGAAGATATATTGAAGTCAGTTTCATAGTATATTAATTATTCAATAGAATTCTCGGGTTTGTTATTTTTCACAGAAGAAAAATTATGAATATGTTAAAAGTACAAAACAATTTTGATAAAACTATACAATAAATTCGAGTTATTTTTGAAAGATTTCCTTTTGGTTTCTTTTTTGGGCAATTTTACTGTAGATAACCTTTTAATGACCAATTTTAATTAAAAAGAAACCACTAAAAGTATTATTTTATTCTGCTATATATTATATGCTTTTTCTTTTGATAACTCCTGTACTTCCATTAATATGTTTATATATTTACAAGTGATCCATAGTTTGTGAATCATTAATCAAAAGTTTGCCTAAAGGTATAAATTCTTATAATATAATAGATCTTAGTTAATTAGGATATATTAGGACCAAAACAATTCGACTTGATTAACATGTTGACTGTCATGTCGGTCACTGGTGACTGACATTTTAAACTTGTAATATATTTTTAGAATGCCCACAACTAATTAAATTTAATGCTCGCAAATTTTGAAATCAAGTTATCATTAGATATACCATGAAATAACAATGACTCTAAATTTCTATTTTTAATACTATAGTTTAAGCAAATTTCAAGGACACCTCTAGATATGGAGAAATTGTGTTGCAGTCAACACATTGCTGCTGCTCCATTTATGTTCACCCCAGATCTCCAAATCTTAGACAGAATATAATAGGAAATAGTCTCCTACCTATAGAGGTTATAAATCAAATTATGCAGCAAGGAAGATCTTAATAAGCAGCTACCTACTAGTCAAAACTTATACTGTCAAAATTCAACTAAAGACCAATAAAATGGAACAATTCTAAAAGAAAAATAATTTGTAAACCAATGATTAATTTGAGTAAATTACTGTTTTCTTATATTGTGAACTTACACTCCAACTTACTTCCTATTTTGCACAATCACACTAATTACACCAAGCAGGACTACTATCTTCAGTCCTGATTAAATGGTATTATGTCTCCTGGATTCTGATTATTTTCTCAATTTGGTTTTGTTGCTCCAAACTTATTTTAAATAAATAATGTTTTCTAAATAAACAGTGTACTCTAAGATTTATTCCCACTTGGACAATAATTGATATCTTCTGTGAGCAATACTACTGATTTTCAAGTTTCAAAATTTGTCGAATAAGATGAGATAAAATTTTAAAACTTTTGTTGCGAGAATCCTCAACGTTGTCATGGAGTACAATTTTCTTTTCATTTAATAAGTGGAGAGTATGATTATTCTATTTTTTTTGGATTCATTGTAGATCAGTAATGATATATTGCATCATCACTATGTATATAATGATGCATTTATTGTCTTTTATGGATAATTGTTTTATATATAGTACATTCTTTAAAAGAGGCTCATTTCTTTTGCTGTTTAAAAAGACCAGCACTCAAACTTGTTGACGTTAAGTTACTTTAAATGACTAGTCAGCTACGATGTGTCTAATATCTCTGTTTCTTTTACGTGTACATCACGGTTCTATTAATAAATTTATCATTGAAATTAGAATGATAGTCTGTTCTTTATTCTTCAAAGTTATCTTTTCCAAATAAAACTTCATAAATCACTTTCACACTGTTACATATACACTACAAAGTTTTATGATCTGCTAACCTCAAATTCTGAGAAACAAAATATTATTAGATATATTTAGTAAATAGTAGAACGTGAATTTACTTTTTTTAGAATTGTTGACAATAAACTGATATTCCTGAAAATTTCTACAATTACTATTCTTGCTAAAACTTTTGATACAATTGGAAACTACACAATCTGTTATTCATTGTATTTTCTGAAACTTCACCAAACTACGAATCCTATCCAAATTAATTTTCGTCACCTCACTTACAGAATTAATTTATCTACATTTTTAGTAAAAAACCTAGTCATTCATATATGAATGACATAGTAATCAGCGTATTAAATAATTATTGCATTCAATAGTAAACATTTAAATTACTAATGAAGAAGCTGTATATCTGGTATATTTTTTAGTAGGATTGCGTAAACTATAAACTAGAGATGGGCAGCGAGCTGTGTGATTCCGCAGGCAGTCAATCGAGTAATGATATAAAATGACGGGACCGTGTGAAGGGGGATCCGCTGGAGTGGGGAGACGTGACGACACTTACGCAGTGACGATGCATCTTATCTAGGCCCGCGCGTTGGGCCATTCGATACAAATGAATTTTTATTTACGAAACTACAAACTCTACGACTTGTTTTATTTGTTTATATTCATTGAGAAGAATCAGCTTTCCGAACACAATTTTCTTTTGGGTCGAAAAGTCGTTCTTACAGCGTAGAAATTATAAACAAATTCTAATGTTACAAATCTGTGATCGTCATTCTGTAAGTGTCGCGGTACCCATTTGACTCTATAGCGTCACTCACTGGCATTTCTTTTATTTTTGGAAAATCTCACGTTACAATTAACTCCATTCTTTATTGTTGATTCAAATTAATATTTGGACAATCTTTTCTTTTATTGAAAAAGTTACTATGAGAGAAACAATAAAAGAAAAGGTCGTGTCTTCGACTATCTTCTTTTGTTAAAGATGATCTGTATTTTTGAAACAATTTTGAAAACGTTAAAATGACTAAAATCCTCCCTGTTTAGTATGAAATATACATAAACCATACATCACGAACTTTATTCAGGAGAAAATACTGATATATGATAACAAAATACACCTAACAAAAACAACAAATAAAACACCTAATAAGATACATTTTTGACCTACTATATCATAACTAACGGTACCTGCGATGGTTGCGCCTATCAAATTATGATATGAGGACCTTGAAATATAGGTCAGCGGTTCTCTGATCAGCTGCGATTCTCATACCAAAATCTAACGATCGCTTGACACGATAAACGCGTCTACCCTTTAAACAGGGTTAACGCCATACAATACAAAATAAAATTGATGATCACGAACTACGCTGTTTAGCTATAATTAAGCGGTAATTTGTATAAGCGGGGTTGACATCGGTCACTTAACACGTTAAATGCGACATGGATCTATGGAGACCGACATTGGACTTTCCGTTTAGGCAACACCAGTCTTTGTGGGACAGTACCAGATTAAAAAAAAATTATTTTTATAATTTTAATACTTTACTAACTAGTAGCGATTTAGCAGATACTTAAATTCAATAATATTTTTTGTTTTGACAGTATTAGTATTATTCAATCTGTATTTTATTTATTAGAATCGTTTCTTAATTAATATTTCTATAATATTTCATAATTTATATAATGACAGAAGCATTAAATCTTATCTCAATAATAGATAATGGATTAATTGATTGTCCTAGCAAGAAAGCTGATTAATAAGATACTGGTTGGTAAAGTATTAAAAAATTGATATATATCAATGTGTAGAATTAGTGAAAAATTACGACTCATGATATGTGATACATAAGAAAGTAAAATAATAATTGTTATGTTTTTCTGTTATAGATCTCCATTGGCATGGAGCTAGGAGCACATTAATAGTGATAGTCTACAAGGTTGGTATTACTAGTTTTCTTAGTATAAAAAGTCCTTAAGTTGTTCATTAGATGTAGATGTACAAATCAATGTAATAATTATTATAAAATAAAACTTCTTTATTTTTAGACGATTTATTAACTTTTATGTGAACGACATAATGTAAATAAAAAGTTACCAATGTTTTATTGAAACACTAAATCAGTGATTTGTTGAATGTAATGAAAAATGATTGATTATACGAAATTTTGTTTCTAGATCTTGGTTTCTATGCATTGCCTGCCAAAGAAGAACTGAGCCCAATGTTTCCACACAATTCTAGTTCACATGAGATTTCTACAGAAACAAATGCCTTCGTACAAAATTCCATGGTGAGATTCAATTGAATTTTGTAATAGAATTTAATTCTCTTATGAAACGTGATAAAAACTTGTACAATACCTACAAAAAATCTCGGGAAGTTTTCGATTCTAATTTTTTTATAAACATTTTAAATTGCGAAATTGTTATAAGAGTATTGATTGTACAGGAATCATGTAACCCGGAGATACAAAGTAAATCTCTATTTTAGTTCAAGAAGTCTCGTTCATTAATAAATAATAAATTATAGATATAATCGCATGATATAACAAGCATTAATGTTCATGCATAGAGAACATAAAAAGCGTAAAAGAAGTTACAAAATTAGTAATAGAATTAACACTTTTATTATCCTCGCAAGCTTCAACATCCTAGGACATGGTAAGCCATCAGAATCAAAGTTGTTTTGACCCGTATGTTGATTAGAGACTTTTAAGTGATCATTGTCTCGACCTACATGTGGCTCGGGGGATAGTGAATGTGTTCAAAGCGTAGATTTACACAGATAGCCTGCGCGCCGCGTAACAAAAGCTAAAGGCGACATAAAAGAGAGAGAAAGCAAATAGTGGGGGCAGTTATGTCCCTTTCAAAGAGGTGTGTTGGTGGGGGCACACAGATGAGAGTCGTGGCTATAACTCCATATCGCCACATTCCTAATATTTAGTATATATAGAAATGAAGTGTATCTTAAATTATTTATACGGTAATATTTTCTTTGTTTTAGGGGGATGCAGTAGTATTAGGGAAAAACAGTCCGATAGGGGTGGGGAAGGGAAAAGAATCAGAAAATGCTAGGTACTGTGATATCGAATTCATAAACAACAACACGATGGTAAAACCTATTAACCATCTTGGAAATACCGCCGCCAATGACTTTTTAACCGTCCTGTTGAGCCAAACTGGTAACTATACATTTTTATTATAATTTTATTGTAAATTGTGTATGTGAGCATTGAAGGGGATATATATACAATGATTTGATATGTTTTGTTTAAATGATTTTTTTTTTTTTTTTTTTTTGAAATTTTTTTAAATACAATTTTAGTGGGACGTACTTATGTTTCACAATTTGTGTAGTAAAAGTTCCATGGGAACAGTCATTTTCAAACTGTTATTACAAACCAACGAAGTTGCGATGTTGGTCATATGCAGAGAGTAGTACACTACATTGTAATCGCCTTTATATCAGAACTATCAATATACGATTCGATCAATTTAGAAATTCAAGAATGGGCATAAAGTTGGGTAGGGGGACAAGTAATGCTAGTTTACATTCAGTAATGTGACGAGTCACTGAATAGTATTGAGTATATGACGAGCAAAAACATTAGTTTCTGTCGTACAGGAATTTTAATTTTATAAATTTCGTACAAACTAACACTTTTGTTTTTAAAAATTACCATTTGTCTTTTTTCATTGATAATTATAATGTCAGAACCTTTTTTTTTTAATTTCCATTTAAACTACAAAATTATTCCTGGTGGTGTCCTAATGAAATTAATTGGAGAATTTATCCTCTTTCTGTTTATGACTACAGTGATCGTATATAAGAATGGTATGACGTGTGCACGCACAAAATGGCGGCAAGTTCACTCCCGCATCTTGTGATAGAAAAAGTTGTATTTTTGTGTTATATACAATAAAATAACAATAGAATAATTTATTTCACGTGAATTAAATTACATTTGAGTGGTATTAAAATTAATTACACGTATTTATGAAATTTAAATGTTTAACTGTAGATAAATCTGAAAAATGGTCGGTAAGTAACGAGTACATATGATATTTAATATGGTTTATTATTCGAAAATACTATTAATCGTTTCTATTTTGTCCGATTTTTTGAGGCCTTTTTCGTTTTATTATAGGTGCGTTTTGTGTTTTATTTGTATTTTTGGTTACATGCCGCTATTATAGTGCCAATATACATTCTTTTTAATTGTGTGCACTATAGAGTTGATACGAAATTAAAAAAACTGTTTATCTTTTTATGAAATGATTAAAATAGATAACAATGCATAATTTATGTATCTTTCAGCTAGCTATGTGTATCATGCATTTTATTATTACTAAATGCTTGGTGCAAGTGAAATTGATAATGTATACATATTTTTGCAATAGCAATGTATAGTTGTTTTTGTTTATCATGAAATATTGAAGCTATATTTCGTACACAAAAATATGTTTAATGAATTATTGGCAGTGCTATTGATGGTGAATGTTAACTCTTAGTACTCCATTGGTTCTTCTATATCATCATGCAAGCCTACGTCACAGCTCCTCGAGCGTCACTGCGGCAACAGACTGAATTGTTTTGTATTCACGACTTTGAGCTGTGGGACTCAGTCTGCTGAGACTGTATGGAGTGCAAAGTACATAGCCTAACTCAACTTGGTTGCGTATGAACTTTTCCAACACTCATCACCAGCAAATTGAGAAGTGTTGACGTCATGACTGAAAATGTATCATAGTTTGGAGCAGTGTCATATGACAAAATTTTGCATCAAACTCAGAAAATCCCCTACCGACAAGTTTGAAATGTTAAACAAATAAAACCAGCCTATGGAGATGAGACATTGTCAAATGTACAAGTGTGAAATTGGTACAAGTTCAAAGAAGAAAGAAAAGTGAAGTGTATACCTTTGATTCTAACCAACCATCGAGTGTGAGAATAACAGTGGATGTACGTCGTATCAGTTCAGAAAATTAGAATATGTACAAAATTTGTGTGAAATTGGTTCTCATTATTTTGTTTGGTGGATAGAGAGGAAGTCGTGTGGTGATTTTTTGTGAATTGTTGCATTATGTGATAAATTGATAGTTCTTTTGAAAGATACCTAAAATCAAGACTCGTATGAAGAGTAGCAGGAACTCTGGAATAGGTTTATTAACTCTTGAGGATCCTATTTTGAAGCATATTAAGTGTATTCGAACCTATTGTTAATAAACCCATATTTCCACAATTCTTTTTGCTACTTTGATTATTATAGTCAAAATATCTCAAGACTACTCGTGTGTGCCACTGAGGTTTGAAGACCACTGAATTGGTTTAACCCTTTAGTTCAGGGCTGAAGAACTGTGGCGTAGGTTTTGAATAACGCTCATCGAGGATCACCCTTACTCCATCTCTAACTGGCGGCCATTTTGTGCTACCCTATACCCAACTTTCTACTCTGTGTTACCTTGAACCCATAAACAAATTTGATTTACCTTTACAGGATACAAATTCATGGGGGCTACGAATCTCCTGAATTAAAAAAGAAACTTGACTTTTTAACAATGTGGTGTATAACACTTTAAACTTTAAATTCATATCTTTCGTTTCTTTGAGCATTTATAAAGAGCGAATTAGAAGCTCCATGTCTAATATGCTGTTTTAGGTTAATTTATTTAAAGAAATTGTACATAGTTTTTAATATTGCAATAATCACAATATTAAATTTAATATTTGAATATTTTTTTAATATTGTATTAATTACAATTATAATTAGTAGTTTTCTTTAACGAGTGGAAGTTTTGTATGCAGTTCATTTTTGATTTTTCTAAAAGTTATACCGCCATGCGACCATGCTCTCAAAATAAAAATAAATAACAACGAGTCCCAATAGCCCTGGCAGACCCATTCGTATAAAAGTAATACGTTCCCCTTGGAATCTTTATATTTACGTTAAATAATATTTATGTTGAATAGTATTGACTTCAAGTATAAAAAATGAGGAATATGTGTTACAGAATTATTTGAACAGAAGTCTACTTTGGTTATATCGTTAAATATTATTTCATTCTTTCCAGGCAAGTCCATCTTGACCAGTCGAGGCCCGACCTGCCAGTCAGTGGCGTCGTCAACCACAATACACCCAACAAAAAATCACTTTCTAACTTACGATAATAATAATAATCCTACACTAAATAATCGCTCAAGACGAGCCGAACATAATCATCAAGATGATCGAAAAACAACAGTTAATGCAACAACAAAAAGAAAACAACCGGGCTCGCCCGGAAAACAAAAACCGGGCAGCTCCGCCAATAACTCTAAGTCTATATCTAAGACACTAAGTGATAATAAGATTAGCTGTAGCGTATTAAACATTAGGGTACTAAATATAAGCATAAATCTACGATTAACAGGGGATAAGTGCGCAATCGGTGAAGGGGTACCTAGCCTAGTTAGGATACCCAAGTCTGATCGCCCCTCATCAGGCCACTTCTCTCTCGACTCTCTTGACAATTACTCCTTACTAGGGTCCTGCCTTCATCCGGGCAAATACAATAACATTAAGTCTAATTCTAGCTTCGTAAGTAATAATAACGATAACTACAAGTCTGTGATATTGCTCAGCTCAACCAGTAACCATTATTTCCTCTGCGTCGAAATGGACAGTGGTGCGATCGCAATGAGACTAGGAGCCCGTTTCAATCCACTCAGATTCTTAGCGAACTCTTCTTTCGACGGTTTATTGTTACACAAATCGTTTCTTTTTCAATCGCAGGATGAACACCGTACAATTATGTATATATCCTCGACGAGTGATCGGATCATTAAAATTAAGCGCTCTTCGGCGGGATTCATGATTAAAACGAAACTCGTCCCTCGTGATTTCGATCAAGAAGGATCGCGGGAATCGTCTTTGATATGTTTAATTAAATTTGTTTTCGATCACGTTAATATCCCGAAGTGCGTATCACCGTGTCAAAATCAAAACATGGCCGAATTTCTCTGTATCGAAATGGAGTTCGAAAACCTACAAAACATTGCAAACGATACATCGCGTGATTTAACATTTGACGATATTCCTTTAGCCGATATTAATCAAGAAATTCTAAAATTTCTATTCACATATCTATTTTTGAAAAACGAATCTCGCCTTCTGTTCAGCCTGGGTATCGCGAGGGAGTTGTCAAACGAAGTTAACTTCTCGTACGGGGAATTGGAGCGACAACCTTCGCGCGTACTTAGCGATCTTCTCTTGAGTAGCGCGTTCTCAAAAGTCAACATTTCGTCCATGATAATCGAATTTTTTCTTGGGGACACTAACGATACGAATAAGGAATACTTGGAGAATGTTACGTCGTACGATATATCTGATGTTAACAATAATATCGCGCTGGCACACATTGAGGAAAACTATGTAAAAATATCAAAGTTGCCTTTAAATTTCGTGATGCTAAAGAAAGTTAAATTAAGTGATAGATCGTCGAACGAAGAATCAGATTCGATTAAGGAAGGGAAAAACGTGGCCACCAGTTCTTCCATTACGCTTATCGTTCCCGGAAACGAGCTAACTGACCAGCCTCTGCGACCTCTCCCATTGAGAAACGCGCCGAAACGCGCACAATCCTCTCCTCCATGGCTCGACCTGGTCGCGAGCGAGCTGACGCAACGCGCATGTGTTCCATTCTCGTTAGATCGTAAGCTTTATGTGGTTAAATTTAGGTATAAGGTGATATGCGATTTTAGTATTATGTGGAAGGGGATACCGAGCCACGAGACTAGCTACGAAAGGACACATCTCGATGTCCACTACTCAAACGTTACTTTCAACACGAATGTGAGAACATTGGCCCGCAAACCTCAAGATTTTATCACGACGAAGCCATATTCGGAGATCGAAACACTCTCAAACAACCACGGAACAACAAATCGTGAACTTGTCAACTTCAATAAACATATTCCAGCATCTCTCAGCAAACCATCGGCAACGGTATCGACAACGACGATTTATTGTAAAACTTGGACTGGACTGTTCACGGAAATAATTGCAAACATAAACAGCGACGATTCGACCTCAAACACGCAAACATTGGAAAATTTATTAAACGCAACCACTTGGAAGAAGCCGAGCGATAGAATTTTGGTCTCCATCGATACATCTGCACGAAATTCGTACTACTCGTTTCCGTATGAAATCTTTGGCGCGGCGTATTCGAAAGCCTCGACTTTGACGAAGGAATATCCAAACGCTTGGTTCGTAATAAGAACATCGGAAACAATAATTTTGAATATAAATGAAAGGATGGCGGAGATGTTGTCCTGGGGAATTAATAGTATTAGTAACGTGGCAACAATTACTGTTGGTGCTCTTTCATTTCAGGATAATGTTAAGTCTAACGAGCCCGTGGGCGCTTATTTCGCGAACTATAGGTACCCGGGGTCGTGCGTGCGTCTGGACCCTGGGTTTGTTAAGTCTCTTTCTAAGTCTACTATAGGGGATAGATATAGGGTTAAGGGGGAGAACCAAGCCGAGTTCGCTCTCTACATTCCTACTACGACTACCTGCAAGCCTACGATGACGCTTAAACGCCAATCTGCATCCCGAATAATCGGTGTACCTGGATCTCGGCCGAAATACTTCGAGACATTATGGCCCGACCAAATGCACACTCCTCACGATTTTTATGACAGTCTGCCGAAGTGTTTAACGAGATATCGCAATGATTCTCTTCCTGGGGGCGAATACAAAGAAGACTCATTGGGATGTTTCGACTGCTTTAACGAACAAATCATACGCCGAAATGCTGCTAAGAATGTTGACCGTAATCAACTGGAAATGATCAAATATCGTACCGCCGTCTATTTGCATGGCGATCGACATGCTAAAGCAGGGCTATCTCGTTTACGTGGATTTGAGGGGTATGATTATTGCCAAGATATGCGCGAGCTAATAGAAGGGAATGTTTCTATTGTTTCATCGTACTCTAGTTCACCGAAACGAACGAGGTTAAGATATCAAGTTTTTATCGACGTGATGAATGAAAACGTTTCTCTAGAAAATCTCTGTGATGTATATCGATTTAAAGAGACGTACAAAATACACCAAATTATCGGATTTGATGTTGAGAATATTTTCGCTGGAAGTCCGATCAATTCTAATCAAATCGCTCTTATCAGTTCGATGTTTCAAACTGCCCAATACATTGACAATGAAGGATTTAATGTAAATTCCCCGGATACGAAGAAGATGGCCGTAATTGTGATAAACCTCCGCGATTGCGATCAATTCGAAGAATGTCAAACTCATGTCTGTGCAACGAACAGCCAGTGCTTCGATGGAGAGAGGATTGCCTCAAATCGAACGGAATATATCATGCCTGCGGGGAACGCGATTTCCGTTGATACGGAAAACAAAGAAATCTCTGCGAGCAACTCCAGCCGAGGCCACCTCATCGATTGCGCAAGGAATCTCATTGCAGCGTCCGTAGGGGTTTCCAAAGATGCTTTACAAGCTCTAAAATATGATCTTAAACGCGTGTTAACTCTCCTTTTCGGATCGATCTCCAATATAGACGATCCCAGTCTAGAGTACAGGAAGAGGTGGGGGATTTCCAACATACTTAGACTAGCTGGCGGTGGTGAAAGTTCATTGAACAATGGTGGAGCTGCAAATTGGGGTTCTGCGCAGACCAGCGCTACAAATAATAATAATAGCAATCAATCCACGTGGGGAGGGACTTCAGGGAATCCTTCTGGGAACAGTGGGACAACTGGAAATTGGTCTGGGAACAATGTAAATAGATCTGCTGCTGGCAATCCAACGAATCAAAATCAAGGACCACTCAGTGGACAAAACGTTCCGGGTGAGTACTCACACCTTTTCAATATTTCAATAAAACTTGAACATTGTAATTCATACTCAGAGTTTCATGCTTTTATAGCATGAATGTGTTACTGAGGTACATTAATCCAATGCAGCCCTACGTATCGAAATTAGATATTCTGAACCGCAAAAGGTTAAAGTTTAGATCAGTTACATGTTATTTTAGTCATCTTTTTTTAATAGAATAGGACTAATCAATTATAATAACGATATACAGTAATCTTTACAAGTATTCGTAGCTTATATGTTCATTTAAAAAATTGGTTTAAATTAGATGATAGGATTGATGTTACCAAATAAATTTTTCATTATAAGTATACACATGTGTAAAGTTTATTCATGTACATATTTATAATGAATAGACTGCTGATCTGTATGCAAAATAAAATCTTCACGAACGTGCCTAGAAAATTGAACCTAAATAGGAATTTATTTTATTCTGCAAATATTATAACATGAACGTTACTTTCAATCTTTTTTATATTCTTGCATATTGTTTGCATTTTGTAATTTCTTGCAAGTTCAAATTTCCTATAAATGCATAAAGATCCGCAGTCTAATAATGAACCATTTACTTGGAAACCTCAAATCTATCACTTAATTTAGATCAATTTCTTTGATAGACATAGAGGGTACGAATATTTATGGGATTGACTGTATAAATTAGCATATTGTACACATTCAAATATTATACTTGCAATTGCTAAGACGTAAACAGTTCTAGATGCCTAATATTGATAAACTGAAAAGCTCGTTTATGAATTTATGTTTTGTTAAATGGTCAAGTTTTTGACAAAATGCACATAAAGGAAGAAATCATCACTAACGATTGTATAACATTCACTTGGATGGTCGACTATGTTTCAGGTAACGTAAATAAGATGAATAATCCAAATCAGCAAGTGAATCAACAATCAGGCCCACCGACTTCTCAATCAAGCAGTACAAATCAGGGTGGTCAGAACAATAACCAATGGTCGCACGGTAAATCCAATTCTGGAGGGCCTGGCCAAAACCCTTCTGTCCCAAATAATAACAATAATTCAGTGCAACAACAACAGCAACAGCCGCCAAACTCCAGTAGCAATAATAATCAGACGAATAATCAGGCGAATAATCCTGCTCAGGGATCCGTTAACAGTAGTAATACACCTGCTAGTAATAATCCTTCGACAAAACAACAACTGGAGCAATTGAACATTATGAGGGAAGCACTTTTCAGTCAAGATGGCTGGGGACGTGTAAGTAGTTTTACACATTACTCGACCATTCTAATAAGATGATTTTCTTTGGACAATTAAAGTTGTCCACCATCATTAAATTACCATTTACTTGAATTGATTACGACTAAAAGTGTTACTCTGCCATACTAATTCTTTTAGAAACGTATGCACATGAAGAAATACAGTATGTATCGTAGAAGAGATTAGTTATCATGGTTTAAAAGTTATTGAACAAATCACGAACAAATTGTTCACTTTGTAAAGCTCTAATACATACTTCAATCTCGTTATTTCCTCTTCTTTCAGCAACATGTGAATCAGGATACAAACTGGGATCTTCCCACAACTCCAGAGCCTAATACGACGAAAGAGGCAGGTCCTGTGTGGAAGCTGCCAGTAAATACCGGTACAGACCTATGGGAAACCAATATCAGAAACGGTGGTCAACCACCGCCTCAACAACAACCAAAAACCCCTTGGGGTCATACTCCAGTCACAAACATTGGTGGAACTTGGGGCGAAGATGACGAAGCTGTCGATTCGTCAAGTATGTGGACCGGCGCTCCTACATCTTCCCAACCAAACACTGCCGCTGGACAATGGACAACCAGTACCGGTAATCAAACCGGTATGTGGGGAGGTAATATTGATCTAGTCGAAATTTGTCCTCCTTTATTTTTATTTTTTTTTTGGACCATCTTATTTTGTTTCTCACACATTGAGACAATTTGTTCTTGATTTTGTTGTGTGAAATAAATAAGAGATATCGCGGCCTGGAGTACAACAACCGGAGTTTCTTTTAAGTGGAAACGATTATCGAACACAATTCTATTGGGTAACTTATCGTTAAGCAGGTATAAGTTTGTCTTATTTTCTTCAATCTCGTATTTGCTCATAGGATCTAATTGGGGTGACCCAAGAATCGACCATCGAGATCCTCGAGATCTTCGTTCTGTCGACCCCAGAGAAATGCGAGATCCTCGTGATCACAGAATGTCCTTGGATCCTCGAGAGCACATACGTGTGATGGATCCAATGGCTCGAGATCCCAGAATGGCGGACATGCGCGGGGATCCTCGAGGAATTTCTGGAAGATTGAATGGCGCCAGCGCGGACGCCATGTGGGGCCAACCACCAGGTCCTCCGCATCATCAGATGGGACATCAACATCCTTCGGGACCACCGGCAAAGATGTTGAATCCTTCGAGTATAAATCAGTGGGTTGCCCCGCCGCCAAAAGATATTATGCCTGGGAAACCATCAGGCTGGGAAGAACCTTCTCCACCTACGCAAAGAAGAAGTGTTCCGAATTATGACGATGGCACTAGTTTATGGGGAAATGCTGCAGCTAATCAGAGGACTATACCTGGAAGTAAAGTTTCTCATTGGAAGGATCTTCCGACTCCAAATGTAGCAAGAGGAGGTTTGTTTACTTTTGTTACATGTACAAATTTCAATTGCATGAACAGGCTGAATATGTAGATTTAATTGATGACAAATTAACATCCGTAGGAATGCCGTGTCCCCCAGGTATGCCGCAAAACAGAATGCCAGGTCAACCTGGAATGAAACCAGACGTTAGTGGACCAATGTGGGGTCATCCTGGTGCTCCCGGCGGACGAAATGGTAGCTGGAGCGAAGGACCACACGACACAGGTTCATGGGATGATCCAAAAACGCCAAGTACCTGGAACGAAGCTCAGTTAAATCCTGGCACTTGGGGTGGACCTAGTGCGCACAAACCCAAACCTATGGGACCCGCTGTAAGCTGGGTTGATACTGATATGGATCATTCTCCTAGTTGGGGTCATCCTACAAAACCTACTCTTACAAAGGAAGTTATATGGAATAGCAGGGAATTTCGATATCTCTGTGATTTAGGATTTAAAGTGAGTACATATTATTTGGATTAATTATTTAAATTGCGATAAATTGTATAAGTTGCCGCTGCCGATCCATTCTAATTGTGATTATATATTTTGTCTCGTTACTTGTTTGTAGAAAGATGATGTGGAACTGGCACTGAGAAATCGTGAAATGAATAGAGAGGAAGCTTTAGAACTTTTGAGTCAGTTGCGGCCTTCAGATCAATGGAGAAGACATGATGCACACTCCACCTATGATCCTGCTAATCAAGCTACAACTGCACCAGCATATCCTAGATTTAATCACGTCGCACAGCAGATGTCTTTTCCTCCGGTAAGATAATTATCGCAATCTTCGATATTCCTTCTTGCATATTTGTTGAACTCAGTATCAAATACTTCGTAAGTTTTTTATTAGTTACTGCTTGTTTACATTAGGCTTCTAACAGTATTGACAATAAAAAATATTCACACATTCGATGAGTTTATGGAATAATTTGGAATTGCAGGGTGCTGGTGTCGCAAGTGGAAATACAACCAGTAGTGTAGGAGGATCAGTTGCTAGCGCAAGTCTATTAAAGCTACAACAACAGCAACAACAAACTGCTGTTCCGTTGCAACAACAGCAACAACAGCAGCCTGGCGGCAATGCACCGCAGCCACCTTTCAATCAGGTAAATGCTACTACTACCGAATTTGTAAATATATTATATTTGCATAAAAGAACACATCGGCACAAGCACTCAAACACGTGTTAATTTATTTCTATTTGAGATGTGCAATAAAAAAGTGATTACGTTCATAATTACATACACTCGATCGGAGCACCCTACTGGTCGAAGATATAGTGAATGCATGTTATGGCTGCACTTGCTCGAAGATTTCCCTACAAAATCCATAAATGTCCTGTTAGTTCATGAAATTTTGTTCGCTTTATAAATAATGGTATGCATTACATGTATGTATCGTTTCTAATTTTATAGCTACATACGTTTTTTTTTTAAATTTGAATAACAATTTAAAAGGTTTCTGTAACTTCCATACTTTAGAAAATTAAAATTTTCTTAGATGTTTCTCTACTTAGCGTACTTAAATAATTATTCGTTTCACTGATATTTAGTAAATATAATGTAATACCTTAAAATTTTTAAGCATAGATCTTCCCAAACAATCTTCATTGTCAAGACCTGGTTTGTACAGGTACCACAATGGTTCGCAGATGTATGTCTCCATCGGTTTATTTTTCAGTTCAAACATCGCATGCAATTATTACGTTATCCTGAATATTTTTGGCGTATTATGTGTAGTTCTCCATTCAGTTTTATTCTGAAAAAAAAATAATAAACTGATCAGTATCAGACGTTTCTTCATTGTGAATATTGTCGACTAACTTTTTTTATTTCAAAGTAAGAAAGTAAGAGAAGGTCTTACAGAATTTCAATGAACTTTCTTAAAAAAATACACTCACAAATTTTCGTAACTTAACTTTTCAAAATTACGTAGATCTCGTTACTCTACTTAGTTGTTTGAATGTTGTTTTTCAAATTCTAGGCTTCTAGAACTCCTCAAAATCAACCAAGTACTCAACAGCTGCGCATGTTAGTGCAACAAATTCAGTTAGCCGTCCAAGAAGGTTACTTAAATCATCAAATTCTAAATCAACCACTTGCACCTCAAACTTTAATACTTCTGAACCAATTATTGCAACAAATAAAAGTTCTGCAGCAACTTCATCAGCAACATTCGGTGCAAAGTACAATGAAGGGTAATGGCCAATCAGTTCTGCAGATTAGTGTACAAATTACAAAGACAAAGCAGCAAATCGCGAATTTACAAAATCAGATTGCTGTACAACAAGCTACTTACATGAAGCAGCAACAACAGCAGCAACAACAACAACAGCAACAACAGCAACAGCAACAACACCCAGTGCCACCGTCTCAGAGCTCGGAATATTATAAAAGCTCTGTGCATGATCCCATGTCTGCACTGCAAAACAGTTTTACAGAATTGACTATGAACAAGGAGCCCCCAATCGTGAGTACCTTCATTTCTAGATTACTTGAAATAAAAGACATTAGCAATATTTCAAGCTTTATGAAATACACACACAAAGATTGAATTCTCAAAAGTTTGTCTACATTAATATAGCCTGCGAATCCAGGCAAACACGGAAATAATAATTTTAACTATTCGTTGCAGAGTCAGCAACAATCAAGGCTTAACCAGTGGAAGTTACCTTCATTGGACAAGGACGGAGAGTTAGTTTCGAATGAATTCTCGAGGGCACCAGGAACAACTAGTAAGCCAGCAGCAACATCGGCTGGTTTGACACAATCACACAGTAGTCCTAACATGAATCCTTTGTTGGGTCAAGGAGATGGTACATGGTCAACCAGACTCGGAGACAGTGGGTGGCCAGATCCAGGCAATACGGACTCCACTGACGGAAAGGATTGGCAGCCAACTGGTGCAGCTGCTTTCACTGACCTTGTGCCTGAGTTTGAACCTGGCAAGCCGTGGAAGGTAATCCATTTCCAATATCGTTAAACGTGATGAAACTAATATTTTTAAGTATAGTTATTTTCAACTGATTTATTACGTAGTAGTTCACATAATATATAATTGATTCATGATATGTAGTCGTTTTAGGTTAATCGTATTTGAAATATTCGAAAAAAATGGAAAATTGTGCAATTGTTTAAAAATAAATAAGAACAGAATGAAACAGACGTTAATAAGTTGTGAGCGAAAAAAATCTACCATGGCGAGTCTGGATGTACACAGAGGTATAAGGATAGAGTGTAAGCTTAGTTTGTAGATGTGGGGAGTAACGTCTATACGACGGGAGAGGGTAGTCAGAATTAAGGATAAAAATAAAGGGTATAGCTGAATAACAAGGTCAAAAGTGCCTCTGAATCAAATTCAACTTGCGATGGGCGATTCGCGTATTTACTTAAGTTTTTCTATACTATTAAATAACAGATATACATTGTGCAAATTTTTTCAGATTTTTTTATCTCACTTGTTTTCCTCTGAATCTCCTCCCCCAATGTATCCTCTCTTAACTGTTTTGTTCCATTTACTCCCTACAGTAATCTCTCCTAATATTCTACTTTTCCAACTTTAATTGTAACTTTGCAGGAAAGACTAGAGGAAAGGTGCCTAAAATGATTGCGTCGAAATTTATCATATCCAAAATTAGTTTGCATCTAAACCTGTCGTTAGTACCGAAAGCAGGGTACGCCTTTGTCTACTAGACTATTCAAGATTATTTAAAAAAAATCTCTTCGAGCATGGTTCCTCCTTATATTCTCTTTATCTTACCATTTAATTAATTAAAGTATCTTAAATGACTTTTCGTTTAATTTTGTTTCATGGAGACTGTACTTAAAAATATAAGGAGAGAAGTAAGAATTACGAAGGCGGAATTTTATTCGGGTCCACCTATATTTGATTTCATTTTAGGGTACCCAGATGAAAAGCATCGAGGATGATCCAAGCATTACTCCCGGTTCAGTGGTCCGTTCACCACTGTCTTTAGCAACGATCAAAGATCCGGATGCTCTTTTCTCTTTAAGTAGCAAAACGTCTCCACCGCCGCAACAACCTACCAATCTTGATACTTCGATACCAAGTTTGAGTAATTCTACATGGACATTTAATCCACCTACTACTACGCCGAGTGCATTATTTACCAGGTAAATTTATCAACTCACGCTGCCAACTGTTTCCAAACTGTGTACGTTAATTTCATTCAGCAGCATCATACTTTAAATAAATTCTGAAAAGAGACAATAACATTTTCAGCTCAAAAAACACTTGGGGCGAGTCTGCACCACCGCCGACTGCGGTCACGTCGGAACTCTGGGGAGCCCCAATGAGTAAAGTACGTGGTCCACCGCCAGGCCTGAGTAGCAAAGCCACCGGAAATACGAGCAACGGCTGGGCAGGCTTCGGCACTGTCGGTAGACCGTCTAGTTCTTGGGGCTTTCAATCAAGCACAAACGCTGGCTGGGTTTCCACTTGGTTACTACTGAAAAATCTGACGCCTCAAATCGATGGTTCTACGTTGAAAACCCTTTGTATGCAGCACGGCCCTGTTCAGGACTTTCGCTTATACCTTAATCATGGAATTGCATTAACCAAGTATTCGTCAAGAGACGAGGCTATCAAGGTTAGTATTCTTTCTATATATTTCTTATTTAGTTATGTGATTTGTCACTTGAGGGTTGGATATACCGGGTGTCCCGTATTAAAGTGTTGTAAGCTATTTTCATTAGAAACTGTTTAAGACATTGAGTCTGTTTTTGTTACATTGTCCTTTAGATGGGACCCCTTATGTATTAAAAAGAAAAATTAAACATATATTTTGTAGTATTCATAACAGTCTGGATCTTCAGGGTTAGATAGCTCCGATACTGTATTGATCAGTACTGATACAGTACAGAGCTATCTAGCTCTGAAAATGCAGACTGCAACGGTTGCGGAACGTCGCACTAAAATTAGACGCGTCGACCTTCCGTAAGCCATGAATACTGCAAACAATACCCGCGAAAACCCGAAATCTAAAATCAAACATATATGTTACAAATGACATGGAACTAATATCGAAATAAATTTGTTTTCAGGCACAAGGTGCTCTAAACAATTGCGTCCTGGGCAACACGACAATTTTCGCAGAATCGCCAGCCGACAGCGAGGTACACACTCTCTTGCAACAACTAAGTCACGGAGGTCAACAGCAAGCTGGAGCAACAGCTGGAGCAGGCTGGGGCTTGCGACCATCGAACAAAACTGGTCCTCCACCCGACACCTGGGCCGGTAGTTCCAGTCAACTGTGGGGTGCTCCACCGAGTAGTAATTCTCTTTGGAGCAACGCTGGCATCGACAGCAACGATCAACAACGTGCTACGCCCAGTTCTCTGAACTCGTACTTACCCGGAGATCTTCTGGGAGGTGAGTCGATGTAGAGTGCCGCACGGAGGAGCGGTATCACTCGTGCGACGACCAAGCATTCTTCTTCACGATACGTCAATTATATTGCGCATTGTCAGACAGACGAGCCGGTTCTCACGAATAAGTTACTTAAATCAGTGTCGCATATGCGTGCAGCCTGATACAACAAACGTGATTCCGGCGTTAATAGGGATCTGATTTGATTTTTTTTTTGTTTTGTTTGTTTTCAACGGAAGTTTGAAACCGGGATTTACGGAGGAGGGGGAAATACTATGAATTTTAAGGCTTTCGGTGTGCGCCGTGTTTTGTTGACGGTTTAGGGTAGCACCGTCTACATTTAACGACGCGCGTAAATTGTGTTATTATTACGCGTACTATGTTGTTTTTAAACCTTCAATTAGTATTATCATTGTATTGCTTATGTTGCAACATTGGTGTTTCGGTATTTTAAGATAATACTAATTTCATCCAATGATAACGCGCGTATGTATGTACGAAAGTGCACATACACGCACCATTTTTTTTCGATAGACACAGTTTTATGAAGTTTCAATTATTGAATTAGTATTATTCTTTCTGTGCAGGTCGCGTTTTTATTAATATATGTTTCAATGATAATTCTTTGCTAATATTCCGTTTATTCAGCAAATATGTATTATTAGTATGTTTCACTGTTTAAGTTGGTACCTTCGGTATATGCTACATTCTTCGATGTTTTTAATTTTTCCTCAATTTAGTTATTACTGCGCGCGCATATTTCTATAGTGCAAGTGTTCGATGATCACTGGATATACGCTGTAGTATGCTAGAGAGACCCTCATCTGAAAATTGAATACTGTGTTGCATTTTTCAATATTTAGTATATTCGGATCTGTTGTTGTTTTATCTAGTAATGCTACTGATGCCACAACATGCGTATTTTTTTTCATACGCGTCATATTTAATTATTGCATATTACTATATTTTAATTCGTAAATTAATATAACTGATACAACGTTGTATGCGCGTTGTCTTTGTCCAATGTTTAAATCTATTGATACGTGCAAAATTCGTATTCACAATAACTGTTCATAACATTAACTGAATTTTAAATATTATATTGGTGTGCGTTACAATTTTGCTTCAATTATAGTATATCTATCGTATACAAAAAAAAAAGTGCGCGCGCATGTGATTAATACTAAACATATTAACGCGCAAAACAGTTTCATTAAAAAATAACATCAATTTCAACTCCTGTTGTGTATTTTGGGAATTGAAGCACAAACAATAGAAAAGTTACAAAAAAAAAAGAAAAGAAAAAAAAGAAAACTATGCGTATACACCGCAGCCATTAGCTTTGAGAGAATAAAAAAAAAACGTCGGCTGATTTTTAATGAGACGCTGCCAACGCTTTTTTTTTAAAGAATGCGCGTGTAAGAAAGTAAATTATGATTGATGGTCTCACGAGTGTTCCACTTTTTTGCTCTGAACAGTTTCCTTTAATTGAGACTGCAATGCGTATTATATATCAAACGTAGACTGTACCAATCTAATCAAAACAGAAAAAGTGGCAAAGAGGAATAAGATATGAATGAAATGAAAATGAAAAAAAAAAAGGAAGAAATAAGAATGAAAAACTTCTTAAAGAAACTAAGCGAGGACCGCGTCGATGCTACGGGCTATACCTACCTCTTCCATTAGCACCGGAGATAGAGAATCGACTTTTTAGTTGAATTTTCCTTTCAGTTTAAACGTAATGATAGCAAGAATGGCTTAAGTGATTATTCCTAATAGAATGCCAGCAATAACATGAACAACAATCGTCGTTAACGATGATTAAACATTCACTCATGAAATTGTATTAAGTTTGACAAAATCAACCATTGCTACCATTATTCTTTTAGGATACGTAACGTTAATTAACAGTTATCGATGTGTTCAGCTACATTATTTGAGTCTCGACGAATATTTAAACATTAGCGATTCGACTAAAAACCGATTCTTTATCGACAAATGCCCAGAAACCTTTAAAAAAAAAAAGGGGGTAGTATATCGGGGTCCGAGTTCTTGCGACGACAACAAAAACGATACCAAATGTTATCGCAATAACGTAAATTTTATTCTATATTAAATCTAAATGCCACCTGTCGTGCCAATGTCCAGCGTGTCTCTTTACCATTTACTAATTATAGAGTTATAACGAATATGGCAATTCGATGTTTTTTCTCTAGCTATCTTTGTCTGCCTGCCTATCTGTGTGTCTGTCTCTATCTTTCTCTATTCTTTATAAAGTGACTGGTATTGAGGAGAAATAATTATACCACTTCCCATTGGTTGATATAAATAAGATATTATTATCGGAAACGATTCATGCATATATGTCTTAACATCACGATGAAATTCTAAACGAAACTTTTCCTTTCGCGAAAACGTTTCGAATTTTCGAGTCGAAGGTTTTAGTGACGAAAAGAATTCATTTTTAGAACCATTTCAATTTTTTTTCTTTTTTCGTATGTTTCTTTTTTTTGTACTTCTACAATTAGAAGTGTTATCAGCATGCGACAAAGATTGTTCTTTCGTTCCGGTTTAAATCCAGTCGGTACAGTGAATCTAGTACAATTATATTAGCTTTTTCGATTGTTGGTTGTACAAGATGTGAAATATACTTCCACGTAATGTAATTGAATTTCTCACGCACCAGAAAATAAGAGAAAGTTAACTGTCTTGTATATTTACTGCGGTGATCTTTTGTGCTATCGAAGGAGCGAATCACAATATAGTTGTAATTTTTATTAGCGCCACGCAGATATTTTTTAACGAATGAAGAAAGTTATACTAACTTCTCCCTGTAACAGGTGACAGCTTAGTACCATATAACGCAGTACATATAACGAGTATTATGTTTAGGTTTAAATTCGGTCCTATTGGACTAATTGCTTTTTCTATGAATAGCTTTCGTTATCTATTGTTGAGAAATGGTATGTTCTACGTCACTACGATTTAATTCTGATTAGATTAATTATTTAAAAAGAGCGATACGGAATTAATCTCGAAAATTCGATGGAATGATCAAGACAAAAAAAAGAAACAAAGACATTGATGATAGCGTAACTTTTTCTAATTGGACCATTGGGAGGGAGGTTCGATGTTAATAAGAAAAAAAAAAGAAAGAGGTGAAAATGAGATGTAGAATTGAGGATTAGGCGAAGCCTTATGAAGTCTCATCACCTCCTCCCCCTCCGTTGTGTGCGTGTGTGTACATGGACGATTTATGCGGCATCTTGTGCATACATGCATATGTGTATATGCGTCTGTCTGCGTGCATGTGTGCGTGTATGTGTATGATTTCAACGTCAAAGTACCTGAATGGACTGATAACCATACCGATGAAAAAAAAAGTGTTTATTCATTGCACAATATCTTTTTTCTAATGTTTTGAAGTACACCGTAACGCCCTCAGGCCTGCAGTCTTGTTTAATCCCAAGACTGACGCTCTTTTTCACAATTTGCCATTAAGCGGATAAACGAATTTGACGATAACAAAAAAAAAAACAAAAAAAAAAAAAGAAGCGTGAAACTTTAACCTTCGAACCGCGTCATCGAGTGTCGATGCAATTCAAAATTTGTTTCGTTTTAACCGGGGATTTGACTTATTCGGGGCTGATTACCGTTTGGGTATTAACGAGTTCGAATCGTTGCGTGCATTCTGGAGTTTACTCATACGTAAAAGTTACCGTGACTAGACAAATTTCAGTCATTAACGCTTGATAAGTAATCAAATCGTTGGGAAGCTAATTTTCTTAAAATCCGAGAAATGAGGTTACCACGTAATAGCTAATATAAATGAAGGGATCAAAAAATGAAAAAAAATGGATTTTGGTGAATTTCGTACCGGGGGAGTCGTCTGAAAAAGAAAAAGATTAAAAAGGGATTGAATTCTTTGAAATCAAAAGCTTGGGAAACGTGTATGTTTAGAATTTCCGTAATTATTAAAAAAAGAAAAAAAAAAAGTTATAGGATGTAATGAATATATGTATACTCTTTAGTAGGTGGGAAATTATTGGTACATGTGTAAGTAGATAGAAAAGTACTTAAAATATAAAAAAATTCTCAGTCGTAAGTTTGGAAACCAAAGAAAGTCGACACTAGAAAACATTTTTTACCAATTAACTATTGACGTTGGTAATAAAAGTAAATGCTGTACGGACCGAGAGATCGTATGATATAGACTGACCTACGTATTCAGTCATAAATATTAGATATTTTTTTTTTATTTCATTTTTCTTTCTAATTTTTTTTTTTTTTTAAGTAAAGGCTTACACGTTTATAATACGCCAGAAGCAATATCGTCTTTATCGTTCGATGTTTTCATTCTAATCTTTGTTATTGAAAAAAGAAAAAGAAAAAATCTTTCGAGGAAGATAGAAATTCGATAATCGAACTTTGCACGACATTACTGAAGACAGATGAAATTAATCGAGATAGGATGTACATCTAACAATGCCCGTTTTTGTAATATTTTGAAAGACGCTTATTAATATTTTATGTACTATTTAATATCACTGCTAATGACGTTAATGTAATAGTTGGTGTAATAGTATTCACTTACAAAAACAACTTGTTTAGAAGGCTCGAAAAAAGCTAATTAAGTAGATCGTATAAACTTCAAAATATACGTGATATATATATCACGTATTTGTGTAAAAAAGGGAAAAAAGCAAAAAAAAAAAGAAAAGGTAATCGAAAACGGAAAAAAGTATTGGAGCTTCGTTGTAGCTATCCCAAAAGACTTCCATCGAGTGCAACGCGTGTTGGTACTGTGTTATTCCAATTGTGAGTAGTTAGTTAGAAGAGAAATCTAAAAAAAGAAAAAAATACCTTTCTAAGAGTCTATTCAAACTTAAACAAACAAAAAAATGCATTTGCCTTAGTTCGTTTCCTCGATACTACGTTTACTCTGATTATACCTGAAGACTAACTGTATTTAAAGAGAGATGTACTGTTGTTTTTTTTTTTCGCAACTTATATTCCTAGATAAATAAGTTTTCTCGTATTTCTTCACTTTTTTTTTTTTTTAATTAAGTACTTCATCGAATTTCTAGTGCTTGATAAAAGCTGCCTCTTTGTAACTCATCGAAAATTAGGCGACGATAAGACCGTTGTATCCAGATAATATTTTCGGGTTCGCGTCGCGGAGCCGTCGATAAAAAAAAATAAATACTGCACGTAATAACAATATTACTACTAAATAGTAAGAGTAACAACAATAGTCATGACGATAATAATTTGTTTAACGAGTATTTAATAATAGAGGCGTCTGTCTGAACCGAAATAAGGATTACCGGTAGCAGTTGCAATAAAAGTTGATAACGAGTAATAGTATTAGTAGCAGCGGCAACTATGATAGTAATAACAGTAAGGAGATATATATGTCATCGTCATATCATCACCCCAGCTTCCTCGTCTCTCTACGGTATGTCGGAATCTGGAATAATGACCCTTACGCTGTCACCTGCCTGTGTAGTTGTCGAAGACAGTAGCGACAGGTACTCCGCGATTGGCTCGTGAACGGTGTGATTAACACTTTACCGACCGGTAGCGGTTCAAGATCCTATGCCCTTCTCACCGGCCGCTCGGCAGCATATTTTCCCTGGCACCGGGAATTTTATAAAAATACGAGAGCTCACAGAGCAAAGCAACTTGTATCTCAATTCAAAGTAACAAGTACTTGCTAGTTACCACAGCAGTTACCGGTCGGTGAGCGTTGGAGATGAAAAGCTGATTAATCGGCTACCGGGTCGGTGAGCATTGGAGACAAAAAGCCAATTAATTGGCTACCGGTCGGTAAAATGTTAAAAAACACACGAACGTGTCACCTTCGCTCTCTTTATTCTCATTTATCTTTAAATCGAGGAGAGTAGGGTTTAGCAGAGTGGTAGAGTAACGCAGGAATACACGCAGTAAGGCATTTTTCTCGCCAACCGCTCGTCCGCAGTTCGTAGATCCCAATACGCTCGATCAATAAAGGGAATGTTGACAGATGGATGCTGTGTCCGAAATTCTGGGTGATTGGAATAGATCCATTTATAGGGCCAACGGAATATAAATCCTTCGCTGGGGGATGGTTCACTACGCGCCTTAAACTTAGACACATTCAGTGGTTGTTCGGCTTCTGGTTCGATAAATGCACGGGTAGAGCTGGCTTCGCGGTCACGATTACGGCATGTCTCGAGACGTGATTGATTGCGCTTTACTCTGCCGGCTGTCTTTGTTCGTTGTTGCAACTTAATCTCATAATATTGGGCCTCTCGCGCCGGATCGGCATCAGACAACCTTCTCGAGGGAACTTTCTTGGACTCTAGAACTCCCACGTTCGCTGATAGTCGTTTCTTCGTCACGGAATCGCTCGTCGGTCATTGTTACGAGTCTCTGATTATTTACTCATAAAAAACGACTTAAAACGTAGTTGTATATCGGTGGTCGGGTGTCATCTGTGCTTGTGCGCGTGTTATTTATTAATCGTAGAAATAACAGCTATAAAAGAAAGGTAGCAGTGCCGTCGGCAATGTTAGTAATAGCGGCAATATTGTTTAATGTGATAATAGTATTAACGATGGTATCACCACTATTACTACTATTGCTTTAGCCGCTGCTACAGTCATTATTATTGTGATTCTCATTGTAACTAGACACACGCACACAACGTGTTTTTATTTTTCTCTTTTCTTTGGGTATTACCGTAGCTGCTATTCCTATCGTTCCTTAACGTTTGTTATTGTTACTACTACTACTACTACTACCGCTGCTGCTATTATTTCTACTAATGCTATCATTACTATTACTACCACTGTTATTATTAACGAATATTCACTACCGATACCGCCGGTGTTGCTACTGTTTTTGCTGCCCCCCAAAACTGGTACTACCAACGCCACTCGTCGCTGTCGACGTGATTCTCGTTCTCGCAACTATCATTACCATTAGTTTATTATTTACGATAGTAGTATATCATTACCGTTATTATTACTATTATTATAAGTGCAATTATTGTTACTGCTACCACTACTATTACTACTAATTAATAGCGAAGAAGAAGAATAAAAGAAAAAGTGGAAGTTATTCTACAACTGTCGGTGCTGTTTAATTGCCGCTGCTGTTATTATCAGTATCGCCTACTGGTAATCGCTACACTTCGTTCGTGGTTATTAAATACGACCATATTTATAGAATTACTAGTATCACCGCCCGCCGCCTGTTGCTGCTCACGGGTGATAACGTAAGGCGATAGTGATACTGACAGTAGCTGTGCGAAAAACGATAATAGTGGATAAGCATCATCAGTGGCTATAGTCACGTTAATATTAGATCGAATAGGATTAACCATGGTAGTAGTAATAAGGCTGCTTATCGTAATATAAATCGTGTGAATGGAACATATGAACGTTACTGAATTACAATATCCATAACCAATAATCCGTAAAAAACAATAATAAGGTGATGATCATGATAACGATAATAATAGTAATAACGAGTATAATATTAATACTTATAATTACGGATAGTAGTAGTAGTGATAGTAGTAGTACACTTGTGATTACGAGGATACCGACGACAGCGATGTACCGTGGCGTTTATCGATAAAGGCAACAAGGCTTCGTAAGAGTAGGTAATAATAGTATTAATAGTGACGAATCATAAATAAATATTATCGATTAATATACGAGCAAAGGTCTGAGGGCGTTCTGGGCATAGTGATGTACTTCATTTGCGTTCCGCGTGGGTGGAACATAAATGTATATTACAAAGGGAAAAACTAAATTTATACGAGCGCTGGTACTTCCAACGACAATGTTCTTCTTTTGTCATTTGAGATAAAAAGAAAATGGGAAAAAAAAATCATAAGAAAAACAATCCATTGTCCTTCGTTGTGGGGGATAGACGGCAGCACACTCCAAGCATAATCGAAGTATGCTTGTAATTGTAATCGTTTAATAAGCTAAGCTAAACAAAATATATGAAGTACATATACGAAATATTTACGACACTGAGGGCTAAGTATGTATAGTTTTATCGTATAATTTAAAGACTTTCTGGGGTAATGGATTCTCTGTTGGAATTTTTTTTCGGAATCGTTTCTCGTTTATAAACGGTCGAAATTTTAATACGTTCTTTTCATTTGTTAAACAATTTTAATTACCGAAAAATATACAAAGAAAAAGAGAAAATTGTCTTCTTATATCGAAAGTATCGATTCATTTTTGGCAACATTTACAAGTGTCGCATTTTCAATTACCAGTTTTATTTCATTGCAAATCCTGTTCATATGGAAATTGCATTTAGAAATCCAAGTAATTGTTAGTCGCCCTCTAAATGCCTCAACGAATTTTAATCATTGAATGTTACTATTTATTTAGAAATTCGAGAATATTCCAGCATACTTTGCCTTTTCTTAAAACTTTGTCTATTGCAATGAGAAACCTTTTGGACAAGAGTTATTAGGGTCTGTTTTGAAACTGTCTCAAACAATGGAACGAAGATCCATAATCTCACGGTTAGAAGAACTGATGTATATTGTATTTTACCCGAAAACGTCGACAAGGAAGGTACAAGTAGGAACAACTAATCATAGTGTAATAGTCATTCTCCTCAGTGTTGTTAATTACCATGAAAAACGCAAGTCTAAGATACTAGCAAATCGATATGATGCATCTTTGAAAAAAAAGCAAATCAGTCACACGTTAGTCATACTGTAATTTTTTTGTGCGCATGCGCAAAACTACGTGTCCACGACCCCTACTCTTTGCACTGTAGACTTAGGAATATAGGAACGGGGTGTAAGATTAGTTCGTAGGGGAGAGGGAAGTAACGCCTACTCGAGGGCGTGACCAAAATTGTTCTTAAGTTTGATTGGCCGCATTTTCACGTA